GACATTCGTCCCTCAAACTCAAACTTCCTCGCCCTAGTTTCATCGCCTTCCTCCCCCCCCCCCTCCTATCGTATTTTCTATTTCTGCCATATCTCGGTCGCTTCCACCTTCCCTGTTTGCTCTGTCACACCTTGCCGAGGGTACATGTCTCTTGTTTGCTACCTACCAATGTCTTCTTGTCTTGTCTGCTCGCTTACTTGTCCTTCTCTTTTGATCGTTACCTTCCTCCACTCCGCCATCTAATGTCAATTTAAGATTCTTGCCATTTCATCAGACTTGAACATAGACTTCGCTGTAGCAGTGACGAGGATAATCTGGACATACATCTTGTTGCTTTCGAATCTCTTTCCGTCTCTTACCTGCGAGATCAGATCACGCCATGAATCCGGGAGGAAATCGGCGAAACGGCCCCAACGATCGTTCGCAGACGTCCATTCCGAGCAGGATGCAGCTGATGATGGGACTAGCGGGGAGAGGACAGTCAGCAAGAGGGAGGGGGATTATCTTTCCTCCAGGGATGCGCCCTCCTCCGATGCAAGGAGGTACCCCATCCTGCTCCTGCGCGTCTTCCTAGTGACTCGATTGGTCAAGTTCCTCCGTTTCCAGGAGACAACCCGAGCGCCATGAGGCGTCCTGGCATGATGGATGTGATCAGCGCGATGTCAACCAGGGGGGTCGACATGCCGAATCCGGTAGGAGCTCCGGCGTCTGCCTTGTCTTCCTCTCACCCTCGGGATGCAGTCTGTCGCAGCCATGATGGCAGCGAGGCAGATGAACTCGATGCTGCCGGTGAGCGCTGAGGGAGGAGAGGGAGGAGGTTGACTTGCTGATGGCGCAGCCTGGGCGCTCTTCCCCTCCTCATTGGCAGGGCAACTGGAGAGGTAGTGTGCGGTGCTCCCGTGACGACCGGCTGACATGCGAATAACAAGGGAGGGAGGGAAGAGACGGGCGAGACCTGAGGTCGGAAGGGTTCGAGAAGAGAGGTTGTGTACTAAAGTCATAGTCTCCGAGTGTCTTGACTGAACGCTGTGAGTGCAGCGAGATGGTCCAAGGAACAAGATGCGTTGGGATACGATTCGGTGGGAAGGAAGAGGAACTCCCTAGAAGAGCAAAGAGATAAGAAACAAGAGTCGAAGGTCGACCTGAGTTATATACTTGTTTCCATCTCAATCGTTATATTGCAGAGGCGGAGGACCGGCGAGGGCGCAGGGCAGGTGAGGAGCGAGAGTGATGCTGATTGGTTTGATAGCTGAAGCACAACAGAGTGACGAGGAGGAGGAAGGAGAGCTGCATGAAGATTACGCCGAGAAGAAAACATCCAAGTCAGACGACAAGGCAGAAACCAAAACGGAAGAGCAAACCAAATACAGCAGTGGGGAAGAGGAAGAGGAAGAGGTGAAAATCTCGTCGCCTGCTGTTGTCCTCGCTGCTCATGCGTGTTGACAGGAGCTTGCGATCTTCCGCCATGACAGCGACGATGAAGCTGTTCCCCTCCTGCCTGTTTCACTCTTTCAACTGACAAGGACCTGCAGGAGGTGGAGGAGGAGAGCTCGATCCCTAGCAAAGCTCCGGCTGAAGAACCGTCGTTGCAATCGCTCAAGGATGAAATCAATCGCCTGAAAGAGGAGAATCTGAGGGTCAGGCGCCTCCTCTTTAACCCCATACGCCTCCTCCTCCCCCCTCTCCATCCTATAGCTGACCCTTTGCTCTACCTCTCCCCTTTCTCCTCCCCGTCTACATCTTCTTCCCTTCTCTTCCTCCCTCACGCGTGTCCGCAGCTGAAGGAAGAGAACTCATCGCTCAAGGAGCAGAACGACATGCTCTGGTCGCTGCACATGGATGGGTAGGAGATCTCGAGGTCGGCGACAGGGGGGCTGAGCGAATATTTGCAGGAATGGAGCCAACGTCGACCAGGACAAGGAGAACAAGGAGCAGGAGGGGCAGACTGCAGAGAAGGGGAAAGATGGAGAGGAGGGGCAAGAGAACGAGGGGAAGGAGGAGGAGAAAGAGGAAGAGGGCGCTTGATGTATTCATTTTGCTCAGCCTGGCCCGCATGCACTCCCATGTACTCCAAGGGCTGGCTGGTGATGCTCAGCTGGGGCGTCAGGGGGATACAGCTGCGGTGCTCGCTCGGACCAGCCAAGAACATGAAGAGTTTGCGCTGTACATAACGTCGAAGAGATCAGAGATGTCTAGCACTTGACATGTGAGGGTGGCGAGCAGGCGATAGCGCAGGCCGGGTGGTGATTGTAAGATATGATAGAATGAACCTTGATGCCGACCTTATCACTGAGGAGCAGCAGGGAGTGAGAAACTTGAATCTTGAGGTGGGGCTCCTCCCTACCTTCTCCTTGCTGTCTACGTCGATCGCCTCGACATCCACAACCTGCCCACCTTGTCACTCGTCAAACTGAAGGAAATGAAGAGTGCTCACGTCAACGACAGTTTGCTTCCCCGTCCTCGTGTCCTGTCAGAGGTTCATACAAGTCATACAGACGCCAGTCACTGGGAAACGCTCCACGTCCCTCCTCCTCCTCCTCTTCTCCTTCTCAGCTTCTCCTTTCTTGTTGTCCTCTCCTCTGCCTACTCTCTTCTCCTCTCGTCGTTTCAGCAACTGCTACTCCTCCCTTCCCCTATCCACCACCCCGCTCCGCCCCCCCCCCCCCCCCAACATCCCATGCCCCTCCCCTTCCTCTTCATCTCATCTCTCCTCTGTTCCTTCTCCCACACGCTCCTCATGGCCGCCCTACCGTTCGAGTGTTGTACACTGAAACCCTCGACACTTTCCCGTTCTCGACTGCAGAAACGTCAGAACGACCTTGAGATCACCAGCTCCCTACTCACCCAGCAGCGGCGTCCCGCACGTCATACACAGAGACTGCGACTTCTTTGCCAGCATCACCTGCAGCCTCTCCGTCACCCTCCTGCTTCCCCACCCAGCCATGTCGCACCCTGGACCCGCAGTTGGGGCACTCGCCGTCGACTACACTTGTCTTGACCCAGAGGTTCAACGCGATGACGAGGACGACGGGAGGATGAAGACCAAGAGAAAGATGAAGTTGAAGATGTCAAAGACCCACTTGATCTGAAACATCATCGTCAACCTGCAAAGACCTGCTTTTGTTCTTCCTCCTCCCTTCCTCCTACTCTCTATCTCTCTTCCGCACAACCAATATCTCCACTAGCCTTGGCATCCTGTCCTGATCCTCTCCACCTTCCTCTCGCTCCAGGAACGGCACAGCCTTCTCACTGCCATGTGCCACATTCTCCTTGACATCTCCCTCTTGCAAGGCCACCTGTCCTGTCACGAGGAGGAGGACGAAGACCGCAGGGAAGATCAACCCGGTTCCATTACTCAAGAATTGTTGCAGAGATCGAGTCAGCGACGCCTGGGGCTGCCGTTACTCGTACAGCAGCAGCAGCAGCGTCAGCTCACGATTTGTGCTTGAGCCTCTTGAAGGAAATCCTTCCCCCCCCCACTGTTCCTCATGAACAGCGAGAGGTTCCGAGTCCTCCTCTGCCCTGCTCACTTCGCCGTCACGCCAGCAGCAAGAGCCGATGACGCCATGGCCTCACCGTCTTCATGCCTCCCCGTGCTCCCTGAGAACAGCTTGCACGTTCTTGAACTGTGCCGCAGCGACTGCATCATCTTGGGATTGTGCACTGCGCTCATGAAAGCAAACGTTTGCATGCTCCTAACAGATCAGGAGGAAGAGTCAGCTAGGGAAGGGACTAGGGAGAGCAACGCCTACCTCACCCCCTCCGGCCACACCGCCGCCAGCCACACAACCATGAGGAATTTCCAGAGCCCGCACGACCTTGGCTGCTTCACCGGCATCGTTGGTTGCCTTGGGATCAAACTTAGCCTACAACACAAGTCGGTGAGTAGCTCCTTGGTGTCTGCTCGTAGATCATGTGTGAAGCTGATGGGAACATCTTCTGCCTCTCTCATGCAGCCCCGTATTCTCTTCTCGCTTCGCTGCATTCTTCTCGACATTCCCGATAATACCAACACCGGCCTCATTTTGCCTACACAATCAGCTCAACCATTTCTCTCTCTCCATTGTCTTTGTTCCACCGCACAAAACGTTCGCGCGCCGCCATACCAGCTATTCAATCCCTCTTCTCCTCTTGCTCGCCTCTGCTCCTCCAATCTACACCTGTTCTCTTCACTTCTGTCCAGCGTGCACTACTTCATCTTTTCTCCTGCTCTCATTCATCCTGTACACTATCTCATCTCATGTCCTGCCATATCCTCCCCCCTCCTCTCTCTCTCCTCTCCCCCTCTTTCACTCTTCCCTCCTCCTTGTCATGCATTCTCCTTATGACAATTACGACTCCAACCCCTCCACCCCCACCCCCAATCAATTTTCTACTACCCCATATTTATCATGAAATGACCCCATACTTATCCAAATCCATCATACCACCCACCCCCATGATTTATGATTGACCCCCCACCCAATGAAATGGATCATCACCCTTCTGAGGACCGGTCATGTACCCCCATGTTCTAATATAAGATACTACCCCTACCCCCCATTTTACAGTACAAGACCTTGCACTGTCCTAGAATTGAATGTCTGTTATTATGATTATTGAGCTTCGGTACTATATCAGTCAATCTGTACCATGATAGTGTGAATAAAATACTTATAGTAATATATCTTATCAAAATAATCACATATGACTGAATAATGTTGCATATGTATACTTAAATTTGTACTACGAAAGTTAGTTAAATTAGGTGCGGTATGAGTGACGCGAGCATGGCAGATGTGTTAGGCGGAAGGGAGGGAGGGAAGAAGCAAGGGGAGGAGAGGCGGGAGGAGAAGGAGGAGGAGGGGAGAGGGAGATAGAGAGAGGAGAAGATAGAATGATTCACTATTCATGCAGCGATAGGTTGTGTTGATTGCTCTGACAGGACAAGGTATTTCTGAGCAGTATCTACAGATATCCTGTGGTAGGTATTATATGCCTGAGAGGACGAGGCAATGACGAAGAAGTGAAGTGATGATTGGAAAAGAACTCAATGTGGCGATAATGAGAATGAGAAGATCAAGATTCGTGAAGGCAGAAGTACGAAGAATGCTCAGAATTCGTGTTTCCGTGACCTCTCTCGGAAATAGCGGCAGGATCCATGTACAGGAGATGATGATAGACAGTGACAGAGGGCCAGATGCAGATGGTATGTGATAACGACGACAGAAATGTAGAGATGAGGATATGTGTGCTAGCGGGAGAGATGCGCACAGCAGAGGCCATGAAACGCTGACTTGTTGGGTTCATATCAACAATTCTCGCATGAAGAGGTGTAAGGTCGATGACGTGGCAAGCAGGTGAAGTGGCAGGAGAGGAGCAAGGAGCTGTGCAGGACAGCACCTTGCGAAGTGGGGGAGCACCATGTTCAACCAGTGGAGGAGATTCCAGTTCTTTGACCGGGAGAATGTTTCTCGAGATGATGGGAGGTACGTGCTTTCATTTCCACACTCGACCTCCTCCTCCTCCTATCTTCTCCTCATCCAATCATATCCCACCCCATCCTGTCCCGTCCCGTCCCAGCCGCTCTCCTCCCCTCTTCCTCGCCCCTCCACTCTTTCCCGCTCGACCAATCCCTTTGTTTCCTTCACTTGCTCAGACGCTGTCTGTGAGCTCACGCACGTGCTCGCTCCTCAGCTCCGTCAGCCTCGACATCAACCGCGTCGGCATCATGGCCGTCACTAGCGGGAGGGGGCAGATCGTGTTCGGAGACGAGGAGGGCTCGATCACCCTCTGCGATCGCAAGTGCAACTTGAGCAAGTTCCAAGCCTTCGAGAAGTCAGTGACGCAGTTGCACCAGCTGCAGCAGCAGAACGTGCTGGTGAGCATAGGAGAGGACCTGCTCTCCTCCTCCGTGCTCAAGGTCTGGAACATGGACAAGATGGACAGGAGCACCGACGGTTTCCTCAACGTCCTCTGCAAGGACGTCTTCGAAGGGCTCCCCCTCCCTCGCTCCCCCGTCACTTGCCTGACCTCGTCGGAGGATCTCTCCCTCATCCTCGTCGGCCTCCACTCAGGCTCTGTCATCCTCATCCAAGGAGACGCGCAGCACAAGAAGGCGGCGAGTCGCATCCTCACGAGCACCCACCAGACGCCTGTCGTGTCCATGGGGCTCTTCTATGTGAGCGGGGGGCGAAGTTCCTTGCTGGTAGCCACGACCTCGCACATCCTGTGCTTCCAGAACCTGCAGCAGGGGAGGATGGAGGTGCTTGACGAGCAAGGCTGCATGTCTGGCGCCGCCACCTACACCGATGACCATGAGATGGTGGTTGGTCGGCAGGAAGCGGTGTACTACTTCAGCAAGGAAGGGAGGGGAGGGAGCTACGCGTTCGAGGGAGAGAAGAAGATGATCGCGCACATGAAGGGCTACCTGCTGATCATCACAGAGGACAGAGCGATGAACAACACCGCGACAATCTACGACATGAAGAACAAGCTTATCTCCTTCTCTTCCAGCGTTGGAGTGATCAGGCACGTGCTGACGGAGTGGGGAAACTTCATCCTTGTGTGCGAGGACGGCAAACTCCTCCAGCTGACGGAGAAAGACACCCAGCAGAAGCTGGACATGCTCTTCAAGCGGAACCTATACCAGATCGCTGTGAACCTGGCGCAAAGTCAGCAGCTAGACGAAGGCTACATCATCGACATCCAGCGCAAGTTCGGCGATCACTTGTACAGCAAGGGCGATCACGATGGGGCCATGGCACAGTACCTCCTGACCGTGGGGAAGTTGGAGCCTTCCTACGTGATCAGAAAGTTCCTTGATGGGCAGAAGATTCACAACCTCACCTCGTACTTGCAAACTCTGCATCACAAGCGGCTAGCTAACTCGGACCACACGGCGCTCCTTCTCAACTGCTACACGAAACTCAAGGACGTGGCCAAGTTGGACGAGTTCGTCAAGTGGGATGGAGTTCCGTTCGAGGCCATCACGGCGATCAGAGTAGAGACTGCGGGTGGCTCGGGGGCCTTGTTCTGACGTCTTTGGACAGACTCTGTGCAACAGCGGGTACTACGAACACGCGCTGTTTCTTGCGAAGAAGCACAGACAGCACGACATGTGCGTCAAAATCCTTGTACAGGTGAGAAGAGGAGGAAGGAGGGAGCAGAGGAGGCAAGGAAGTAGAAGAAAGATGAAGTGGAGCGGTCGGAGGAGGGAGATGATATGGAAGGTGGGAGAAATCGTTGAAACTCTGACTAGAAGCCTGACAGGATCAGAAGCAAGCAGAGGAGGCGCTGGTGTACATGAGGAGCCTGACTTCTACCGACTGTCTAGAGTGCATGAAGGTTGACTGTAACTCCTCCTCCTTTCCCAGCTGATTGTGACCATGCAGCGATATGGCGGTCAGCTAATGAAGGTTCTTCCGACGCAGACTACCGACTTACTCAAGGTCCCAGTCGTCTCCTCATCCTGCTACTACTACTACTACTACTCATCATCACCACCACCACCACCACCACCACCACCATCATTCACCATCATCATCATCATCATCTTATCATCATCACCATCATCATCTTATCATCATCACCACCACCACCTCCTCCTCCTCCACCACCACCTCCTCCTCTATACGTCCAGCATTCCCCTTCCTTCTTCCCTTCTTCTTCCTTTTCCTCTGGTTTCCCACCCCATCTTGTCTTCTCCTCCTCCCCACCCCCTCCTCTTCCGTTCTGCTCTCATCCCTTCACCCCCAGCCCCACCCTCCCCATCACCTCTCTTCTTACCCACAACCAGATGATGTGTACCGAGTACAAGCTCGAGAATCCTCAAGAAGTTTCAAACTCAGCTCCTCCCGAGCAGCAGGCGCCCGCAAACTCTTCTGGTACCAACCCAGCAAGAGCTGAACTGAAGCTTAAGAGAGATCCGATCGGTGAGAACGAAAACGAAAAGCCGAGGCGCAAACTTGACAGCCCACAGCAGGAAACAGCCTGCCGCGCTCGTCTTCGGAACCGAACTTAACGAAGGGAGGAGCAGGAGCAGGAGCAGGAGCAGGAGCAGGAGCAGGGGCAGGGAACGAGCGGATCGATCCGATCAATCCGATGGACTTCATCCATCTGTTCGGGGACAGTCACGAGGACGAGCTGATAGGTCCTCTGCTCCAGCTGAGAAAATGTCTCTGATCCGCCGCGCAGATTTCTTTGAGTTCGTGGTGTCTTCCTCCAAGGCTGAACACCCTGGGGTGCTGGAGTTCCTGCTCGAGCTCTACCTGTCCAGGCAGCGAGGCGCCGTCGTGTCTCCCAGCAAGAGGGAGGCCAGCCACTCCAGCTCCCACTCACCAGAGCAGCTGAAGGAGAAGGCGCTGGCGCTGCTGAGGTCGCTGCTCGGCACCAGCTGGAGGCTGCTGACGTGTAAGCAGGAGAACCAAGGTGGGTCTGGACACCGAAGCAGCCCTCCTGACCTGCCAGCTGAGAAATTTTCATGAAGGGGTTGTCATGCTGCTGGAGGTGAGCTGGTGTCGGCAGGTCGGTTCCCCTGACTCCCCAGCAGAAGCAGGGTCTCTTCAAAGATGTTCTCGAGCACTTCATGTCCATCAAGTCCGTCGATGGGGTCATGGAGACCTGCAGGTCCCTGAGCTCATGGTCAGCTGGACTCGTCGGGTCAAACTCACGCCTGGGACAGGAAGCATGGCGACAAGGACCCCCAGCTGTGGGTGTCTTGCCTGCACTGGCTGGCGGCTTGCGACACGCTGTACACCAAGGAAGTTCAGGTCCAGCTGCCTTCCACCTGGTGCCGACGCTGCTCGCTCACCCTGCTGCAGGAGACGCTGACCCACATCGAGGAGCGAGAGCTGCTCCCTCCCCTGGTGGTGATCCAGGTCAGCCCGAGCAGGAGTCGGCCGGGGACTTTGCGCCTGACTGGCACACGGCACAGATCCTGGCGCAGAACAACAGCGCGACGCTGGAGCTCGTGAAGGTGAAGGAGGGAGGCAGCTGGACTTGAGCTAAAGGTCCGTTGACAGGGGTACATGACGAGGTACCTGCAGCGGGAGATGGGTCAAATCCAAGAAGACAAGACGGCGATCCAGGCTCCAGATGCTCTCCAGCTGCTCTAGAGCTGAACTTCCCAGCAGGGGTTTCGAGACGAGACAGAGAGCATGCGGAAGGAGATCGAGGTGGGAGGGCCTGATGATAGACTTGCCCAGCTGACTCCCCAGCAGAACTTGAGGACGACGGCGAGGATAGTCCAGTCCCGCAACTGCAGCGCATGCGGCCAGACCCTCGACCTGCCCAGCGTACACTTCATGTGCAGGTGGGAGCGGAGGGTTGGACAAGTTTGCGGGGGTCAGACTGATCTGGGGTCCAGCTTCCAAGGGACCCCCTGCTCCTTCCACCAGCGATGCCTCGGGGAGAACGAGAACGAGTGCCCACTGTGCGGGCCTGAGGTGCGGGTGATCGGGA